TTTCACTTCCACGCGAAGAGATACCGACCCATAAATCCGGCAGTTCACTTAGCGCAAAACGTTATCATTCCACCACGGCAAAAAAATCGTCCTCCAGTAATACGATTTTCGTGTAAATGAAGTTGGTATAGATGAGATTAATCAATTTTATGGGTCTATTAATGGCGTTGTCGCCGAAGAAGTGCGTGACCACACGTTGTGTCGTATGCCTCGCACGTACGGCACAACTCTATCGGTGCTAAATTTCTGTTTACGAGAGATTCGCACGAAGACGATTTTCGATTACGCCCTCTCGCCGCCGCCGGCCCATGTTTGGAAGCGTACCCAACGGAAGTGCGCAAGGTTTTTTATCGCTTCGTCCAACTACATTGTATTAAAGTGACTACAATCGGACAAATGAGCTACGTACTCGACTGTAAACGTGTTGAAATTAATCGCCCTGCTGGTTTACTGGAATGCAGTCATTCTGTCAGTTCTGTATGAGTGGTGCCAGATTTATTTTTGTTACACGTTTCATCATCCGATTTCGCTACCGATTTTTTTTTGTAGCGATATTGCGAGTTGCGGTATTTTGTTGCAATTCCGCAAAGCTAGCGGATAATTATTGAGTTATCTTTAATGTAATCAATTCTGAATCGCAGGTGTGCATGTGGGTACAATCCCACAAGATGATTAAAGGATTTAGAACTGGTAGTATAACTACTTCTAGCTTAAAAAGTTCAATCTTGTCAATTAAAATCGAGACGAAGGATTGTGATGCAAATATGCAAGAACAAAGAAACTTAACACGAAGAATGGGTCGTTTTGTTAAAGGCCAATCATCAAATGATAAGATTCTCGGTTAAAGCCTAACGTTTTGGGCTTAGACGCCATCGTAGTGCCAAATTTGAAGCTGTCCATGGTCCTAGACTGCATTTGGTAGATGCTTATATTCGCAACATGGAAATTGTGAATTATCAACTACAATCTATACAGACTTCTACAGATAACCGCGAACAGAAAGAGGTCTACAGACTGCAGTCTACAGTCTACCGTCTACAGTCCACAGTTCACAGTCCACAGTCCACATTCCACAGTTCACAGTCCACAGTTCGCAGTCCACAGTTCGCAGTCCACAGTTCGCAGTCCACAGTCTACAGTTCAATGTCCACAGTCCACAATCTACAGTCTAAAGTCTACAAACTACGAACCTTTTTTTTGAAGACGGATTTTTTAAACTTGCAAAGACAATATGTATGGATCGCAGGTAAAGATACGCGAAAACGATCAAACGACTCCACCCCTCTCGAAAATCCGGCGTGTGGTCCCGGCGACTTTTCTGTATCTGTTTTGGATTCTCCGAACCTCTAGGATCCTTGGAATCTTCCGATTTTTTTAGATTGATCTGATATGTTTTCCAGGTCTTTTGGACCTTCTAAATCGCATAGATCTTGATTTTCTTAGATCTTCTGGAATACTCGGTTGTTTTGGGTTGATCGTCTAGATCTTTAAGATTTTTTTAATTTTTTGACAATTTTTCGTTTCCTCTTCTTCAAAATCAATGTTCCTGGATGGCTTAGAAGTCTTCGGTCTGTTAGATCTGCGGGTTTCTCAGGATCTTCTGGAGCATGTACACCTTGTAGATATTCTATTCTAGGTGCTCCCGGTTTGCGTCTTTGGGATTGTCTAGACCACCTAAAACTATTGAACTTTTTGTTTTTCGAAGCCAGGCCGTTTTTCTTCCTTGGTATCGAGTTTTCGGTTTTGGTACTCAAATTTCTGGTCCCTGGTCTATAGTGGCACCTGAAATTCACAATCCTTAATTTCTGGCGTTTCATGATCTTCTAGATCTATTAAGTTTTCTGAAGGTTTTAGAATTTCTGCACAATTCCTACCTCTTCCTAGCTTACTAAACCTTCAGAACTGAGAACAGTTCCATTGTCATCTCTGGTCACTGGGATGACGCTTATGGGGAAAGAGCTATCGAGTCCTTGTTTCTTTTTAATATTATTTTTAGGAAAGGGTCATTGAATCTTCCTTTGCTGAAGAGTACCCACAGATCCTCTGGTGCTACTTTTTCTGCAGTA